TAAATACTTTTTGAAATGGAGAAACATCATTTTGCCTTTATTGACCTGCACTCCTGGGTGTAAACATGAACAAAAACACAATTAAAAAAGTTTAGGTCCCATATCCTTCAAATTTAGTAGTTCAATCAGATTGTTCCATTTTGTCTGCAATTTTTTAATGGAACAGTTCAATGAACAAGGGCCCTCCAAACACCAGCCATGGTTTATTTAGTGCATATAAGTAAGCCTTTGTAGGTGTAATGATAATTGTCTAATGATCAATTGTTCTTTAAGGATTAATTAACTCTGTAGGTTAGTTTATGTAAGACAGTAAACCATGTTTCAAGTTATGAAGCTGACATTGCAGGAAACCCAACTGATTTCTGTGAACCCAAAGAAGACTAATTGCCAGGCAGAGCCACAACGTTGTATACACTCAGCATATAATGTTCTTAAAGGCAAACTCTTTTCAGTGGAAGGTACACATTCAATATTCCCTTTTACAAAGGAAAGATTAACTACTGACAGTAATGTGAACCTTAAATCTCCGTACCATTTGGCAATTTAACGATATATCCAGATCTTACGATGGTGATTTTTTTCTCAATATGTTGCCAAGCCTTTCATTCATGAACTGCAGTTGTTTCTCCCGAATTTGGTTATACTGTTGTGCTATAGCCAAGAATTATTCCAGATTAGCCACTGACCATCATTCAGTGAACTGTTTCAAATGGTTCAAATCATTCTTAGCATTCATTGTTTTCCTTCAAAGCATACAGATTATTTTGAAGATTTTGGTTAACAATCTGGATTCTTCTAATTTTATCAAGGTTGGTCCAGTGTATCATCATCTTAATCTCCTCTCTGAACTGTCCATCGTCTGAACAAGTTTTGCTTTTTGTTTTCTTACAAACCTGGTCCTCTTCCTGCTGCTTCAATGGTTATTTGGTTTCTGCTATGTCTGGCCTGAGCTCTTTCACTAAAACGTCACTGCAGCAATGCACTTCTGAAAGGATTGTCTTGACTGATTTTGCAGTTCTTTCTCCATCTGTTTTATAGGTTTGTATTTTTTCCAGCATTGCTTTGAACTCAGAATGATGTTTCAGTAGCTGTTCTTGCTGAACCTAATCTATTTTATATAAGGGTTGCTCCAGATCTTTCTGTAAACCAGCAATCTTTTCATTAGAATGATGATACAGAGTTAGCATTTCATCCTGTTTCCTTTCTTGAAGTTTATTTCTTTTCTCTCCACAGCAAAGAGCTGAGGTTTTACCTCCACTAATTCAGAAGAATGTAGTCTTCTTTCACGTTCTGTACATGTTTCTTGCATAATCTGTTGCATTTTCTGTTGTGTCTGCGCTTGCTGTTTGCAAGAGCAATTCTTATTAGCATTTGGTGACAACTTATTTCACTCGTTTTTGTCTTATCATCCTGACCCTACAAGTTTTTCTTTTTTGCGTAATGACCCTTTGAATGCCAGAATTGAATTTGCTTTCACCACACACTCAGTGCATTTCTGATTCTAACCACTCACTGCACTGAAAGAAAAGGTTCTCCTCATGTTACCATTACCTATTTTGATAATTATTTTAAATGGGTGACATATGATTCTCAATCCTTCCACCAATATAATTAGTCTCTTTCCCTCCACCGTGCCAGACCACACATGATTTTTGAACATTGCCATCATTTGTCTTAGCCTTCTGATCTCCAAAGAGAACAGTCCTGGCTTCTATCAGTTTATTGCTGTAACTGACAGTCCCTGTCTCTGGAAACATCAAATTTAATCTGACACACGTCTGCCCATTCTGCTAAACTGCTTGTGTCCTTTTTGAAGGTCTATAAGATCTTCCTCGTAATTCACAATATTTGGAAGTTTTTTGGCATCTGCAAATTCTGAAGCAGTACAACAAAGTGTATAAAATATATTACAGATAAATCAAGTAGAGGACTTTCAGCCCCACCCCTGGGGAGCACCACAGTAAGTCATAATCCCATCCAAAAGTGAATTATTGAATAGCAATCACTCTCACTCTGGCTAATTTGATACGCGCATTACTACTATCCTTTTATTCCATGAGCACTTCTCTCAAACCTGTCAGGCAGCACTTTATCAAAAACCTCTTGGAAGTCCATGTACACACCCTTATCTACTCTCAATACCTTATCAGAAAAGAATGGGTTAGCTAAATATACCCTTAACAAATCCAGGCACTTTTTCCTTAATTAAGTAGCATTTGCCCAAGTGGCTATTAATTTTCATCTGAATGTCGTTTCTAAAATGCTTCCCTACCACTGAGGTTAAACGGGCTTGTACTTACTGTTTACTTCTTTTGTGCATTTTTTTTTTTTAAGTTGTCTGCATGAACTTCAGCAAAACGTTCGACAAAGTTCCACACGGTCGACTGGTGAGTAAGTTTAGATCATGTGGGATCCAGGGAGAGCTAGCTAATTGGATACAAATTTGGCTTGAAGATGAGATAGAGAGTAGTGGTAGAGGGCTGCTTGTTCGACTGGAGGCCTGTGACAAGTGATGTGCCGTTAGGCTTGGCGCTGGGTCCACTGCTTTTCATCAGTTTTAGAAATGATTTGGATGTGAATATACAGAGGAATGGTTAGTAAGTTTGCAGATGACACCAAAATAGGTGGTGCAGTGGACAGTGAAGAAGATAATCTCTGAGTACAATGAGACCTTGATCAGATGGGCTAATGGGCTGAGGAGTGGCAGATGGATTTTAATTTAGTTAAATATGAGGTGTTGCATTTTGGTAAAGCAAACCAGGACAGGACTTGCACAAAGAACGGTGGGGCCCTCGGGTGTATCGCCAAACCGAGAGACCTAGGGGTACAGGTGCACAGTTTCTTGAAAGTGGAGTCATGGGTAGACAGGACAGTGAAGAAGGCATTTGGAATGGTTGTCTTCATTGGTCAGAATATCGAGTACAGGATGTTGGTGAGGCCACTTTTCAATACTGCATACAATTTAAGCCACCCTTCTATAGAAAGGATGTTGTTAAATTTGAGAGGGTGCAGCAAAGCTTTACAAGGACGTTGTCAGGATTGAAGGGTTTGCGTTATGGGGCAAGGTCGAATAGGCTGGGGCTTTATTCCCTGGGAGTGACTTTCTAGAGGTTCATAAAATCATGAGGGGTACGGTTAGGGTGTACAGCCAAGGTCTTTTTCCTAAGGTGGGGAAGTCCAAACCTCAAGGGCATAGGTTTAAGGTGAGAGGGGAAAGATTTAAAAAAGGACCTGTGGAGTAACTTTTTCATGCAGAGGCTGGTGCATGTATGGAATGAGATGCCAGAGGAAGTAGTGGAGGCTGGTTCAATTACAACATTTAAAAGGCATCTGGATGGGTATATGAATAGGAAGGGTTTAGAGGGATATGGGCCACATGCCAGGAAGTCGGACTAAGTAAGATTGGGATGTCCAGTTCGCGCTGATGCGTTGGACCGAAGGGTCTGCTTCCGTACTCTATACAAGTGTAGTATGAACAACTCTCCAGTCCTCTGGCAACATCATTATATCTAAAGAGGATTGGAAAATTAGTTTCAGTATCTACAATTTCCACTTTCACTTCCATTAGTACATTGGATGCATCATGTCCTAGTGCCTTATCACTTTTAAATTCAGACAGCCTATCAAGTTCCAACTCCTTGTCAATTTTAAGTCCGCAGCATGCCTGTATTACCTTCTATTTCACCATGACCTGGTAAAAACAGATACAAAGTATTCATTTAGTACCTCAGGCATGCTGTTTGGGGAAAAAAAAAACTTTTCTCCTTCTTCTATCCACCAATTTGATCAGCTTCTCCCTTACCACCCTACCAGACTACTCATCATTTTGAAAATCCTGTTTTTGGTTGCTAAGTGGCCCCACACCTGTGTATTTCATTTTATGATAACTGCCAGACGGATCTGATAGCCTTTGCATTTTTTTTTTGCTTTTTCAATTCCCCTTTGAATCCTTTATATTGAGCCTGATTCTCAATTGTATTATCCATCTGAAATGTGATAAGTACCATTTTTCTACCTCATCATAATCTCATAATAGACACTCATACTCTGGGGAGATCTGGATTGGTTTGTCCTGCCTTTCCCTCAATTCAAATATACTTCAACTAGTTTCCTCTTTAATGGCAGCTAACGTGCTGAAATACTAGATGTTTCATGTGGTAGTAAAACAAAAAGAATTGTAATATTACCTGATTGGGATAAGAGGAAGCTGAAAGACAATTGGGAATGTTAGTTGCTTCATTGCTTGTATAATAAGCCATTAATTTGTGGATTAGCATAATAGCTAGAGGCTAAGTAGAAAAGAATTGCTGCTCATCATCTGTTAAAAGTTCATGAAATTGCTGCTGATGTGCTAAGATAAACCATAGAAAGTTTACTGACATGGAGTTGAAGGGAATGTCAGTGTTTGTAAGACTTGATACCAAGTGGGTAGGCTTGAATCAAATATTCTGTATATTACATTTGTTGAGAGAGTTTGCTTCTAAAAATTGTATGTTTGAAAGGAATCAAAAGTGCATTTGAATTCAACTTACCAACTCCATTAGTGTAAAATTGCATCTGAACATATTCTTAGAATGAAAACAAAAAAAAATGCTGGAAATCACAGCGGGTCAGGCAGCATCCATGGAGAGAAAACAAGCTAACATTTCGAGTCTAGATGACTCTTCATCACAGCTGAAGTGAAGCATTTTGTGTTTTCAGTTCAGATTCCAGCATCTGCAGTAATTTGCTCCTTCATATTCTCAGATTGGGCTTACAAAATCTGCTTTCTGTGACAAAAGTTAAAATTGTAGATTTGTAAAATAATAATTTTCAGCCTCTGTAATTAGCAGCTTAAAAGCAACCATTGAGACTGATGTGATTTGTCTTTTGCAAAATTGATGTAGTTGTGCTGAATTAACTAAAATATATAATCATTGCTTTACTTCCTCTATGTCCTTCACGGAAGTACTCGTTTTAACTCTATTCAACACGAGAACTGTCTGAAGCGAAAACAAAGGAATCTATTAAGTATAATTTTGTTAGAGCTGCAGGATGACTGTGTCATTGGTTGTGTTTATCTTCATCTGTAAATCCATCAGCAGCTGTAAGGTTTCCACTCTGTCCATGCAGGACAGTAACACCTCAGGTAAGAAATGAGAGCAGATACAGTTTGTTTTTAAAAGGATACATTAGCTCTGTCAGTTAATTATAACTCTTTATGAAAGGGAAGGCACAGGTTTCATTATGAATTTCAATATCTGTATTTGTAACCATTCTGAATGTCAAAAGTTTTGCTATAATCTGTAGAAATACCTGAATTGAAAAAATGTGCCAATAAACAATGAAAAATCTTATGGGTACAAATAACTTCGAAATATTTTCAAACGGAATCTTTCAGAAATGGGAAATGTTATTTTATATGAAACTGTGGAATTAATGCTAGCATATTAGCGTTTGGAGCAATCAGAAATTTCTCAGTCAAGGTTGGATGTGAAATGATAGCTTTTTTGTTTGATTGAACTTAATAATGTAGGATATAGGCAACTGAGTAGCATGTGGGTTTCCGTAAAAGCAGCTCTGAACGTGGCACTGAGTTGGTAAAGAGTTGGGGCAAGTATCAGATCCTTCTAACATTTAGTAGAGTTTTATCTTAATCACTCCCTCCAGTCATAAATGGCAGTTTTGCTACAGCTGGCACATAACAAAATTTTATGGTTGGATAAACGGAACATACTCCTCGGTATAATGTTTGATACTACCATGTTTAAATGACACCTATTTGGATGTTAATCAAGTTAGTTGTAATATAGAACAAAGAATGAAATAAATAAAAAACAAGGAACAGGCCTTTCTGCTCACCAAGACTGTGCTGACTCACGGTGTCTTTCTAAACTAAAAATCTTTTACCTCTATGGGGTCCAAATCCCTCTATTCCCTGCCTATTCATTCTTTTTGTGTCATTTGTCTCTTGAATGTTGCTATTATGTCTGCCTCCTCCAAAACCTGTGGTATTCCATTCCAGGCACTATCATCCTGTGTGTAAAAAAGAAACTTGCTTCTCATATCTCCTTTAAACTTACCCCTTTTTAGCTTAAACCCATATACCCTAATTGACATTTCTAGCCTGAAGGAAAAGACTCCCAACTACCCATTCTATCCAGGCCTCTCATAATTTTGTAAACTTCGATCAGGTTGCCCCTCATCCTTTGACAGTCAAGTGAATACCAACCATGTTTGTCCAATCCCTCCTCATATCTAATACTCTCCAAACCAGGCAACATCCTGGTAAATCATTTTCTGTATCCTCTCCAAAGCCTTCACATCCTCATGGTAGTGTGGCAACCAGAACTGTATGTAACATTCTATATGTGCCCTAACTAAAGTTCAAAACAGATGACTTGCCAGTTTCCATACTCTCTGCCCCAACCTACAAAGGCAAGCATGCCGTATGTCTTCTTGACCACTTTATCCACTTGGGTTGCCACTTTCAGGGCACTGTGGAGCCATACACCTAGATCCCTCTGTATTTTGATGCTGCTGAGGTTTCTACCATTTACTGTATTTTCCCTCGTCCATTAGATCTTCCAAAATGCATCACCTCACATTTGTCTGGATTCAATTCCATCTGCCATTTCACCGCCCAAGCCTCCAGCTTATCTATATTCTCCTGTATCCTCTAGCAATCCTCCTCACTATCTGTAGCTCCCCCAATCTTTGTGTCATCTGCAAACATACTGATCAGACCACCTACATTCTCCACCAAATCATTTACATATTACAAACAAGAGTCCCAGCACTGATCCGTGCAGAACACCATTCGTCACAGATCTCCAGTCAGAAAAAACAACCTTTCACCACTGCTCTGTCGTCTATGACTAAGCCAATTCTGTATCCATCTTACCACCTCACTGCAGATCCCATGTGACTTCACCTTTTAATCAGCCTGTCATGAGGGACCTTGTCTAAGACCTTGCTAAAATCCATGTAGAAAACATCTACTGCTCTGCCCTCGTCTATCATCTTTGACACTTAATAAAAAAAAAACTGAAATCATAATTGTGAGACACAACCTTCCCCACACAAAGCCATGCTGCCTGAAGCTAATAAATTCATATTTTTCCAAATGTGAGTAAATCTTGTCCCTTAGAATCTTCTCCAATAGTTTCCCTACCACTGACAAAATATCCCTGTAGTTTTTAGTTTAAGTTCAGAATTCAGATCACTGTTTGCTTCATCTGTAAATACTTCCACATTGAGCAAACACTGTTCCTCCTACTACATGTACTCCCATTAGAGTTGTGTTGACAAATAATATTTATCCAGATGTTTCATCATTGTGTGCCATCCCCTCATCCATATGCTAGTATTTTTCATTCAATAAATTGTGAACAGTTACATGAAAGCTCTGGATACAATTTAAGAAGAACATTTTAAAAATATGGCTTTCTGCTCAACCATTAGTAATAGTTCATTGCTTAAATCTGAAATGTCACATTATTTCCTGTTTATGTTGCCGAGAGGAGATGGCACCATTGCATTGATGGGAATGGGGTTGGTGGTGGAGGGAAAGTCGTTCTCTATGGACCAAGGAATGACCAGAAAGGGAGCACACACCTAGAACCCACTGAGACGTTATCAGAGTTTACCTGGTAGATTTCCCTCATGGCCTAAGCACTCGTAAAACGTTCAAAGAGGCTGCTGATAGCCTACTTGGCTCCATTGGGTTCTAGGCAAGTGTTTAGTCTCTAACTTTTCCTGCTCCTCGCAAGAATGCCAGTGGTTAGAAAACAGATATGCCACCCATCATCTTCCTGTACCATTTTGCATGCCTTCCTATCTCTCAGCCAAGAGATGGGAAGGCAGTCACTGGACCGTTAACCCAGAGACCCAGTTAATGTTTTGGGGACCCGGGTTTGAATCCCACCACAGCAGATGATGGAATTTGAGTTCAATTTAAAAAAAAAAAAAAAATCTGGAATTAAAAGTCTAATGATAACCATGAATCCATTATCGACTGTCAGGAAAAAACAATTTGGTTCACTAATGTCTGGATTATTTCTAGGGCCACACATTCATGAATATAGGAGTATAAATATAGGTCAAATGAACATGTAGCTAAAGGAAAGATGTGGAAGGGGAGGGCTTTAGATTTTTGGATCATTGGGATAGCTTCTGGGGTAAGTGTGATCTATACAAACTGGACAGGTTGCACATGAGCTAAATGGGTCCAATGTCCTTGCTGGACAGTTTGCTCGTTGTTGAAAAAGTTTTGAACTAATTTCCCTTTCGAGAAGGAAAGTGCCGTCCTTACCTGGTCTGGCCTGCATGTGACTCCAGACCCACAGCAATGTGGTTGACTCTTAACTGCCCTCTGGGCAATTAGGGATGGGCAAAAAATGCTGGCCTAGCCAGCGACGCCCTCATCCATGAATGAATGAATGAATGAATGAAGCCTCAAAGGGCTGGAAAAAACAGTATTTCAGATGTAGCCAGACCAGGAATAAACAAAAGATTAGAATAATATGTATCACTTAAAGTCAAATACCTTTTAAATGCATGATAATCTTGGCTGGTAATTTTCTTTTGCTTATACTTTTGCAGTTAAATCCAAGTATGTGCACCACCAAGGAATAAAGTTAATACTTAAAAGCATTCTATTCATTTTGTAAAGTTTGATAAGATGGTGTTTGGAAGTTCTGTATAATTAAGTTGGATGGAGTCTGTTGCTGTGCCAATCTATAGGAATCAATTCAGAGTCCTGGATTATCTTGTCTTGCCTATTCTTCCATAGAATTTATTTTAAGGTATATTTCTGATCAGTAAAAAATATAATTTTTGTAAGTTAGTACAGGATTTCTTCAATGGAAGTTGTTTTGTGACTTTAAGTTCTTTATAATTTCCAATAAACAGCATTGAAAATAAATACTGTTTAAAAACATTTTTATACCTTTTGACTTCTCTGCATAGGTCAAGTTCCACAGATTTTGTATCCATCCAATAACACTATAGAAGCATTGATTGGTAAGTGAAACCAAGTAAAATAAAGCAACAAAACAGACTTTTATATGGATTCTGGCCTCTCTTGTCTTCCTTTGCCCCAAATAATGAGCCCTTGAAACTATCAGATTCCTCAAATAATTTGTTTTAAAATGTATTTGTGGGTTGCATGAGTAATTGGTAAGGAAGGCATTTATTGCCCATTCCTAGTTACCCTGAAGGCTAACTTTGTCAGTTGCTGCAGAAAGCTGAACAGGCTGCTCCTGTTCAGGGTGATATTATTGAAACACAAAAGACTTTTGATTTGACAGGGTTTATGTGGAAAGGCTGTTTCCTCTTGTTGGAGAGTCTAGAACCAGATGGCATGACCTCTGAGTAAGGGGTCACCCATTTAAGACACTGAGGAGGAATTTCCTTTCTGAGGGTAATGAACCTGTAGAATTCTCTACCAGAGAGAGCTATGAAGACTGGATCATTAAGTAAAATCGAGGCTGAGATAGATTTTTAATCAGTTCGGGAATCAAGGCTTATGAGGAAAAGGCAGGAAAATGGAGTTGATCAGATCAGTCATGATCTCATTGGGTCTGGGCAGGCTCGATGGACTGAATTACCTACTTCTGGTTCTATGTCTTAGTCTTAGCTTGAGCAGTGTTCTGCCTACACTACGAGATTCTCTGACATTGTGTTCTAACTTCATGCTCCTCAAAACGGATTTTTTTCTAATAAAATAATGGCACTTACTCCAATCTCAAACTAGTTGGATGACCGTTAACCTGTTTTATCTGGTTCGGATGAATCCTCTTACCCCTAAGGAAGGTTGATTCATATCTTCCAAAGGTGACATATCATTTAATTATGTGTTCGAATGAAGCTAAATAGTGTGCTTTCTTCCAAAGATGTTTGCTATAAGGTTTTTAGCCTCTTTGTACAGATTAGCATTATTATTTTTGTAGCTGTGTGGTTGTTTTTGAGTCTTGTACATTTTCTGGAAATGTACCACTTTTTTTTTAACAAAAGTTGTATCAGTATGATAAAGCTAGACATTGTTTCTGTTTGTGTTTCTTTTTAACTCCATATCCAACCTGCAGAATCACAGAATTGTTACAGTGTGGAAAGAAACCATTAAACCCAAGCATTTTAACTTTGTGCCAGTTCCTGCCTTTTCCCCATTTTCCTGCAAATAGTTTCTGTTAAATAATCATCTAATGCTGAATCTTGAACATCTCATCCCTAGAATCATTCCTGTAAACTTCTTCTGTACTTTCATCAGTACATTCACATCTTTACAGTGAATTGCCCAGAACTATATATCATTCTCCACTGAGGCTTATCTAATGTACTGTCTGAGTTCATCATAACTTCTGTTCTACGGTCCTACAAATGAAGCCTCAGAAACTGTTTTATGAGCAGTTCTTTCTACTTGTCCTTCCACCGTCTCGTGATATACATTTACACTCAGGTCTCTCTATTCCCACACACCCTTTAGACTGTCTCTCTATGCTTTTTATACCAAAGTATATTACCTCGTACTACTTTGCATTGAACTTCATCTGCCACCTATCTACCCACTCCACTTTGTTAATGTCTTATTGAAATTCTACACAGTGCTTCTCATATTTTCACATCTCCCACACTTTGTCATCTACAAACTTTGAAATTGTCCTATGAGCACCGGGATCTCAGTCATTCACATGTTATATTTCTATTCAAGTAAAGCAAAAGTCCCAATACTGACTTTTGGAAAATTCCACCACAGCCCTTCTTCCGGCCTGAAAAGTATTGATTAACCGTTGCTGTCTGTTTCTATCCCTCTATCTATTTGTATCCACATTGTGACTTTACCTTTATTTCATGGTCTGTAACTTTCCAAACATGTCTGTTGTGTGGCGCAGTATCAGGCTCCTTTTGGAAGTCCATGTAGACCACATCACTAGCTTTCTCATCAACTTTCCCTGGTACCTCTTCAAAAAACTCTAGTCACCTAGATATGATTTTCCCTTAACAAATCCATTCTGATAGTATAGTCCAGTACAAATCCCAGCTTGAAGGATTTGTGATTTTACATTTGCATGGAGTTAAATATTTTTGTCATTATTTTGAACTGCTGTTATTCCTCTTATTTAAATTATTTATTTAAAAGCTGTTGGAGGAATTTTCTATTTTGTGCAGGTCGCAGCTGATTTTACTGTTCAGTGTTTTAAATTGTTCAATCATAATTATATTAAATGTGAATCTTCAAGTTTTGTAAAAGTTTTTATTATGTGGAGAAGGATGCCCACATGATCTTTAGCAGGAGATATGCTTAATCATGATGAGCAATAAATATACTATTCTATGCTACTTAATAGCTAGTTATATTACATTAAGTACATGTTTGTCTCTTGGGATATTGGGTTCAATGTAAAAGTAGGTTTACGTTACAGCTACTGAAGCATTGTCAAATAGTATTAGTAACGAGCACAGAACTTTAACAACTATCTAGAATCTCTGGTTAGCTCCTCTTAGGGACAGTCCTTCATATCCTAACAGCTGTAGCCAATCACATGATGTCATTTAACCCTTCCAGGTACTAATTGTCTGGTGCAGCAGACTGTTATTCTGTACATACTTTATGGTCTTGTAAATGAAGGCAATCTTACATACAGTTTAGTGGCTGTCGTGTACAAGAGCCATAGCAGACTCAAGATGTTAACTTGGTTTCTCTCTCTCTGTACAGAAGCAGCCAGACCTGCTGAGTTTCTCCAGCACTTTGTGTGTCTAATGCAGATTAACAGCATGGGCAGGAGGAAAATGATTGGTCAATACGAGTGCATTTTCTAACGAGCAGAGTGGGTTGTCATTAAATATATCTGTCTCCGATAGATCTAAAACAGGCCTCTGAGGTGCCTTCTGTAGATATAGAGTGATTCTGCAATGAAGCAGGTACCCTATAACATCTCCATCATTTCTGTTAAAGTTTCCTTTACTTTTGTCTGCAAAGCACATTCTGTTACTGGCTCCAGCCGCTTCCTCTTTACCATGGATGTGCAATCCCTTTACACATCCTTTCCCCACCAGGAGGGTCTTAGGGCTTTCCGCTTCTTCCTGGAGCAAAGACCTGAACCATCCCCACCCACCACCACCCTCCTCTGCTTGGCCGAACTTGTCCTCACCCTCAACAACTTCCCTTTCAACTCCTCTCATTTTCTCCAGGTAAAAGGGGTTGCCATGGGTACCCGCATGGGCCCTAGTTATGCCTGTCTCTTTGTGGGGTACGTGGAACATTCCTTGTTCCAGTCCTATTCCGGCCCCCACCCACAACTCACAACTCCGATACATCGATGATATCGTCGGTGCTGCTTCCCGCTCTCGTCTGGAGTTTGAAATGTTCATCGATTTCGCCTCCAATTTCCACCCCACCCTCACTTTCACCTGATCTATCTCTGACTCCTCTCTTCCCTTCCTCGACATTTCTGTTTTCATTTCTGTTTCCATTTCGGGGGATAGACTGGCCGCTAATATCCACTACAAACCCACTGACTCCCACAGCTACCTGGACTATACATCCTCACACCCCACTTCCTGTAAAGACTCCATCCCATTCTCTCAGTTCCTCCGTCTCCATCGCATATGTTCAGATGATGCCAACTTTGACAAGGGAGCCTCCGAAATGTCCACCTACTTCCTCAACCGAGGATTCCCCAGCTCCGTTGTCAACAGGGCCCTCCACCAGGTCCGACCCATCTCCGGCACTTCCCCCCCCCCCCCCCCC